AAGACTAGTCCATAGCACAATTAAAAGCTATTTTTAAGTTTTCACCAGTTTACCTATTTTTTTGTTGATTATTTATTCTAACTTTGAGATAAATCAATGTGATGTTGTAAAAGAGATATTAAAGGTTTCTAGATATGTAATATTTGAAAGCTGCTATTTTTAAAGTTTAAAATCATAGCTTACTTGGAAATTAGTTTAAAATTTGGAAATGCCCAAAACTAAAAATATTCAAGCTATTGACTGAAAAAGTTTAAGTTACTGATAGTGATGCAGTACGACAAAAATCCACTGCCAGCTTTGAACTACTTCAGTTCTATTTTCTAAAATTTAATTTTTAGTTCTGGAGTTTCACCTTATATTGACTGCCTTTTCAATGTGAACATGTCTTAAGTTTATTTTACACCTGATTAAAAAGACACCATTTTCCTTAACCTGTCAACAACTCAATTGAGCAGTCAAAGTGTATTATTTGATATCTTGTCTGACATGAGGACTGCAGTCCAAAGAGAAAGATGTCACAAATTGGTGCCACACTTCAATAAATAGAGACATTTTATTTTTCACCGAGCTAATTCAATCCAGTTCAGTTAACTCTTTTTTCTCCCTTAAGGACAGATCAAAAAAGGCAGCCATGAATGACTGAGTTTGTCATGAGTCTGACACGTTAGTGTGGGAATATAAAGCAGACCACAAGGGAGGGGTTCTCCCTTTAGATTTCAGACAATACCCAGTACAAGAGCCTTCTTGCTCAGATGTGCACGGAATGAGCGAGATCACTGGGGTTTATTCAGGTACAATGGGAGGAGTGAGAATTTGCCGCCCTGTACACAACCTTCCCCTTACGGTTGTCACATTGAAACTTAATTGTTTTTAAGAATTTTCAGATAGTTTTCAGGTGGTCATTGAATTTCATTTTGGTTACATAAGCTAAAGTCTTTTAGATACTACTTGTTAATTTTGTGATTTGGGTAAAATCTGTGTCCTAATTGCCTCTTCCTTAAAAACCCTTGCTATAATAAACATAGACCCTGTGTTTTTCTTTCTTAGTTCAGTGATTTCTTCTTAAGATATATATTGAAATTTATAGTCATAATACTGTCCTTTCTAAAGGATGTGATGGGATAGATTATGTTCCTAAAAATGGAATGTTTAAATAATATTGGGTTGTCAGAAAACTCATAATGCATTTTTACATAGAAAAATATCTAATGACTTTTTCCAACAGCCCAGTTTTTATGAAAGATCAACACTATCAAAAAATTGCCTATTGCTTTTTGGGCCAGATCTGAGGTCCTCATCTTGTGCTTTGTATCGTTGAGGGCTGCTGCTCCTCCTGCTGCCTGGTGTTCTGCCCTCTCCAGTGCTCTGCAGGGACGTTCTTGTCTAGCAGCCCTAGGCCATGCCATATGTCTGCAGAGCCTTCCTTCTCTAGCTGCCAAACCTGTCCTTGATGTCATTTAAAATCCTGCTTTTTCCATGAATTAGGCCTTCCTTGACTAATTGCAGTGGTAGAACTTTTCTTGTGGCCTAAAAATTTATCAAGAGTGCTTTTGGGAACCAGCAGTTGGCGTAATGGCTATGTCGCTGGACTCCCACGTAGTCGACCGCGGTTCACGTCCCGGACCCGGTGGTTTAAAACCCACGCTGGGCGCGTGTGCGTGCGTGCCCAAGATCTCGAGAGGAGAATGGAGGAGAAGGGATTGCGGCGTGGCCATCCCCTCTGGGGGGTGATTTCTCGCTTTCTGTCTCTATGTCCCTCTCTGTCTGGCGAGCGCACGCGCCCTATAGCGAAAATCTCTCCAAAAAAAAAAAAAAAAGTGCTTTCTTCTGATTTCTGCCAGTGTAATTCTACTGTATGTTTTCTCAGAATAAGGTGATATCCACTCTGATTAAGCCATGTGGTGGCCTCTCTGTCCAGGGTATCAGTAGTGCAGGAGTGTTCTCTAAGTAGTCTCTACAGAGAGCAGGGCTGGGACAGTGTGTCAGTTAGGATGACACAGTGAAAAGCCATTCAGCTCTGTCAGCTGCCAGCTAAGTTACCACACACAAGTTACCTAACCTCTGACTTGTCTCTTTGTTTTTGAAAGGATGACATGAAGATATGGGACCAAATAACCTGCTTAAGAGTCATGCAGGTTAGATGAGTTAATTTTGGTCAAGTGCTTTCAGCAGTGTCTGGCACAAATTAAGTGCTATGTAAATGCTTATGAAATAATTTATTGAGCATGTTCTATCCACTAGTCCACTATGCTAAGTGTTTCACATGTTCTGACATAATCTTCACAGTAGTATAATCTGATAATGTCACCATTCCCATTTTACAAGTGAGGGACATGGGAGATAATCATAGTTAAGTAATTCACTCAAGAGCACACAGCAAGTACAGTGCAGAACTAGGATTTGAGCTCACACCACCTGGCTCCAGGGCTCTCAACCCCTTGCCTCTGTGTAAGCTCCTGGGAATACTGTCAAACCTGAATGTAAATCATTTTGCCCTTGAGAATATCATAGTCAGAGAGAGACTGTGTTTCTTGACCTATTGGAAAGCATGCTGTGAGTTAATGGGGCAAGGAGAACTTAGTCCCTCTGGACCCTTATGTTGACTACCTTAGATTGAGAGAGAGGATGGAAACCATATGTATTAGCAGCTGCTACCACGGCACTCAAGGCCATGGTGGTCTATATGAGAATGTCTCTTTAGGTTTGGTGTTTCTTTTAAGCCACTCTTTTGTCAGACTCTTGAGGCTTTGCCAGAGTGGTGGCTCTAGTCCAGGACCATGCAGAATATCATAAAAATGGTGAGATACAGAGAATCCAAAAATGAATCAGCCACATAGGCCAGTAAATGGTACATCGTAGGTATTTAACATGTTTTGAGACCAGCAGGTGGTTAAGATGCTGGATTCCCACATGGCTATTGCAGTTTGAGTCCTAGATCTGATGACTTGAAAAACTCACTGTGCACATGTGTGTGTCTGCCTAAAATCTCAGGTGGAGAATGGGGCAGAAGGGACTGTGGTGTGGCCATCCCCCCAGCAGCTTTCTCACTTTGTCTCTCTCTCTCTCTCTCTGTTGAGCACACGTACCCTATGACAAAAACCTAAAACAAAAACATGTTTTACTCCTCTCTACCATATCACCCAGCTCTACTGAAATACTAAATGTATCCACGATTCTAGCTAGAAAGGCCAATAGCTTGTTCTGGAAGCTGGTACAACACATCTTAGTCCTAATATGAAATCTTGGTACATGAGAAATTACCTTTAGGTGGTTATACTTGCACGTATGTCTTATAGATATTACAATCTAGGATATGCACCAATGCTTATATTTTCCAGACATTATATCCAGTATCCAGACTTTTTGTCAGATAGTCAAAAGTTTTTAAAATGACTTTCTTAAACCTTCAAACTATCTGAGGTATTTTGCTGATTATATACAGATAATGAAAAAATATAATTTTACAGTTAAGTTAGTGTGTGTATGTGTGTGTGTGTGTGTGCGCATGTGTGTGTGTGAAAAGTTTCCCAGGACAGTAATGCTTTGTAGAGGTTCTAAAGACCAATACTCTTAAGTGCTGGGTAAAAATTAAACTTGAATAGCACTGATGAAATATTTACTCATCAGATGGCTTTGAAGTTTAGCTTCTTTTGGATTGCAGTTCCCTTCCTAATGGACATGTTTCAAAGAAGAAAATGGTTATAGCATTCAGCTGTGGTTTTTCCTTACTCTCTGCATGGAAGAAATCTATTTTGTTTTGGTCTATTTTGGTATTTAAATTTTGAAGACTAGCTACTTAGAAATCACATTAATGCCAGCAGTGGTTCCTACAATTCTGAATTTATTTTCATTGATAAGGTAATATTTGAAAGTTAATTTTTCTAATATCTATTTATTATAAACACAGATTGCTTCAATTCCTATTCTATGGTTTTTCCAACCTAAATTTACTTAGTTCTCAACAGTTTTATATCAGAAAGCTTAAGGTGAGTGTATGTGTGTAAAACATGTAATGTGTTAGAGAAGTCAGTTTTATAAAATCTTTTGAATGAAATTGCTATGTTTAAAAACTACATATTTAGAGGTGTGGTTCTTCAGTTTTGATAATAAATGAAGGGTTTTCCTTCAGAGTTTAAAAGTGTTGATGCTTTAAAAATGGTTGAGTAATTTTGTTTCTTCTCCACTTTGGATTAAATTTCACTCGTCTAAGTGATTTCGGACTTTAGAAATTTTTTATTGCAGTGTTGGATATTTTTATTGTAATGTTGGTTATTTTTGTGTTTCCTTCCACATAGACTATGATACACATTTAATATTTGTATTTGTGCTTTATTATTTAGTTTCCATATGAATCTGACAAGCAATGAGGATCTCAGGAAAATCCCGGTAAGTTGCTGAGGGAGTTAGAAAATTACCAAAGACCAAGTCAGACATCTCTCTGGCACCATTTCTAAAAATGCCTTTGTTTCCTGAATGCCCAGTTACCTAAATATTGTAGTTCAGTGCGGTAATTTTGAGAGAAAGAAAGAAAGTGAAATTTAAATATTGCCTTTTATATTTATAGTAGGGTGAAACTTCTGTATATGGTCTATGAAAGTCCAAGCAAACATAAAGTTATAATTGAAGCTAATTTAGAATACGCATTTTGTTTATAGATTGTTTTGAAATTAATAGAAAGTTGTCTAAGTGAGCACTACAGTTTTGAATTAGAGCATGAAGAGAACACTAACATTTTTGTTGTTATTGGGACAAGGATTGAAGAAAGCGTGAAGCTGCTTGTTAATATTCAACAATAGGAGAAGCACCCTGGCAGGAGATGTAGGTAACATGGAAAGCATTTAAAAAGACAGATACTTTAGAACACTTACCCTCCTAGTCAGAACGAAACCAAGTATATATTAAAAGGCTTAATAGCAACCAGCTAAATCAACTCAAATATTTTTTACAAGGATTATTTTGCTATCTTTACCACATTTTATTGTTCTTTGAAATCTAGTGTTGGGAGTTCTATTCAGAGTTCCATTGCATCTGCAGTCAATTCTAAATATATTAAACCTAGAGAATAAGTTACTTTACAAAAATATGGGCAAATGTTCTTTATGGAAAACTAAATTCTCACTGAGTTACAGAAATAGAGCCTTAATTCCAAGAAGCTGATGGTTGCTATTTCAACCATCTGTCCTTAATGTGTTTGATCCAGATGTATAATAATTTTTTTAAGCGATCACATATCACTATTTTCTAGGATGTGATATGCCTAGAAGAAGCCCAGGCGAAGTTCGAGTTTATTTTATAAACCATTCTAAGTGCGGTTGTTTGTCTTTAAAATTGTAGAAAACATAGAAACACAGGACTTTGTACTGTGTTTTTGCTGTTTTATGTAAATGATTTGTAAGTTTTGATGTTTCATAAATACTCAAGTCTTTATAATATGGCAGTCTGGCGAGAAATGTCAGAATATATGAAGTCGGCCTTTGATCAGATAGTAAAATGAATTCTATCAGGCAGTTACTTAATCTCAAACAAAATGCAACATCAAAAAATCGATTTAATGTGTAGCTATTGTTTATTAAGTAACCTTAATTACAATTTCTATGTGCTTGTAAATGTACTTTTCCAAATCTTGTAATTTATTGCTTTAAAAGCATCCTTAGAATTCTTTAAAGAAATAAAATGTGAAAATTGTTTTAGTTAAAGGATTTAAAGGTGATAAAAGAATCCTTGATGTGTGATTATTTTTCTGTGGAATACTAACTATTCTAAATGACAGTTAAAGGATTACTAGGTGTTGTTAATTTACTGCAGGATACAATTAAGAGGAGAAAGCTCATCCTTGTACTGATCGTTATTGAGGGAAAGTATTTGAACAATTTTTATGTTGAAGATTATAAGATGTTTGAAGTAATTTACATTAAGTTCTCCAGTAATAGCCATCTACCAAGTTATTTTTTCCCCTTCTGGACATAGTATTTTGTAATTAAGTTTGTATGTCTTACATGCTAGTGCCAACACCTGTCTGTGAAAGCACAGTGTTTAAACAGGAGCAGTAGCCAGTTGAAAGGGCAGTGTGAGCTCTTTAAGGCCTAATTAAGAACTGAAAGGGAGATGAAGGGAGTAGGACAAAAGATGTGAAAGTAGCTGAGATGATATTCCCAGAGCAAAGTTCCTCATTAGAACAATAATGAGATGATCAGAGAATGCCAGGCCTTCATCTTCTCTCTCGTTCTCCTCTAGTTGCCTCGGATGTCAGTTAGAACCCCACCAATATTTGGTTACCAGGACAACCTTTCTTTAAAGCTTCAGTTATTTTGAGTCCTGATAATTTGCTTTTGTTTAAATATTGTAAAAAAAAATGTACATTTCCTAGTTTAAAAGGCTAGAATTTGTGTAAAGTAAAAAATCACTAGTAAGTCTCCAAGTCCTGTGTACAGTAGTGTTATTTAAAATTCTGGTAAAACCTTATGTAATCTATTATTCTCTAATCCATTCCCCATTTTCTTATATCTGCATAGGGACATTTTCAACAGAGGTGGGGTTAGGGATGAGAAAGGAACAGTTGTGAGAGAGAAAGAAGAATTTATCGTCAATTTCAAAGCAAGAAGACATCTTAAAAACATATGTGCTATTTATATGCAGTGCTGTGGGGAAGAAATAGCAGTGGGACTAAGTCCCATTGGAGGTTGCATTTGGTCTTGACCAATTTGGAGATTTCTCAATTTTAGATGTTTTCCCAAGAATAATAGTAAAATCTTTTGAAAAAAGAATTTTGGGATTTTTTTGAGAGTTTTTCTCCTTAAGAAAAATAATTTTTGTAATCAGAAAATGTTTTTACTTTATGTTTTACTATTAGTTGGTTCTTTTTTATGAAATTTTTAAAAACAGAACCATATATATATATATGTGTATGTGTATGTATATATTTTTGTGTGTGTGCGCGCGCGCGTGTGTGTGTGTGTATATATATATATATATATATATATATATATATATATATATATATATATATATATATATATATATATATATATATATATATATATATATATATATATATATATATATATATATATATATATATATATATATATATAAAGTAAGAAGATCAGTCAATTTAAGACTTTTAAGCCTAAAATTAGGTTTCCATGGTTTTCTAGGCATGTAACTGTCTTTAATTATTTTATATTCTTTTCCAGAATATAGTTTAGAGGACTTGTACTTTTCTGCCCAGAAAATTGATACTGAAATTTGGAATAAAGTTTTTACATGAAAGGACACATGGGGAATTTATTGAAAAGATCAGAACTATATTTGCAGGATATCTATTTATAAATTATAATATTAGATCATTCCGAGGAGAAAATATGAAGTAAATATGTCTGTTCTAGATTATGACTGTAAATCGGTGGACACTATTCTGAGATAATAATTATTTCAAGAGATTAAATTGTTAGATAGACTTATCATGGCATTAATTTGACCACTTACATCAAAATTTTTTGACATGCCTTTTATCTCTAGTATCTTTGAAGAAACATTATAAAAATTTTTTAACAACATTAATCAGCAATACTGGTATAGTGTTAAATATAACAATGCAAATGTTTTTTTTAACTCTATGTAATCACTTAAGTTGTTTGGAGAAATCAGGTCATATATGTATAATTTCATTAACATTAGCGAGAGTTGAACAGGGTCCATTATTAGGTCAAATTAAGAAAAAACATAAAGCAGTTAGCGAATTATTAATGAACTCCATTTAATTTAACTTCATTAATCCCTGCAATTTGTACAAGAACTCCTATTTTTCAGTAAGTGTTTTATGAGAAAAATGAAATCAGACTTTATAACTTTTAAAAATGCAGCTCAGGAAAGTCACTTACTTAATAGACCAGAAAATTTTAAAGTTGAGAACATCTCACTGGCCAGATAAGGAAAGTGGTTTCTGTCTCAAATTTATGCAGAATTACTTGGGTTGAAGTATGAAACTTTAGCTCATTTTTTAACAGTTTTCAAAAATACATATATCTCTATGGCATGTCTTATCTTTACTATAGAAAACTGCTTACTATCATGTTTTATGAAAATGTCAGTAAGAAATTTATATTATGTATCTCTAAATTACTTGTGACCAATTAAATAAACTGGCAACTATGTGAGTATGTGTGTATCTGTATGTAGACTAATTGTCACAAAAGATTAACTGATCTGAGAGAGAAAAAAATAAAAAGTAAACCAACAATTGTCTCTAGAATTGTCCTTGCATGGTTTTAGAGCAATATTCGAAGTATTTTTAAGGGTAAAGGTCATATATCTTATAAAGTTACATCTGTTCCCAGTTTATATTGTCAAAAAAGTTGTTTTAAATATGTCTTATTGAATTTAAGCTCACTTCCCTTTAATATTTTCTCTATTTATTCGTATTAATTCTTTAATATTTCAGTAGGTCTATGACTAATCTCATCCCTTCCAAGTGATCTTGCTCACTGTTGCCTTTTTAATTTTACTACAACACAGCTTTAATTATATTATTCCTGTTCAGAAACTTTCAATAACTTCTTGTTTCCTATAGCAAAAAGTTTAAAATTCTTAATAATAATATTCATCTTCCTTTGGTGGTCTATTTCAGCCTCTCTCTGCTCCCTAACTTGTGCCTTATTTTCCAGCCACGCTCCATCTTTTACTGGCTGCTGAAAATGCTGAACCTTGTTTTCTCCTTTAAATAAGTAGATCACATTGCTTGAAATGCCCCTTATGCATTTCTGCCTGCAAAATCTTTGAAGGCCCAGTATAAGTTGTACATTATCTTCTCTACAAAGCCTGAGTCCTTCTAGGGAACTGGAGAAGTTTTTCAATCTTGAATTTTTTTGTTAATGTTGGGTGGGTATGCATGCTTCAGTGACCCAAGCATCAGATTGATTTTTGTACTCTAAATTCTGTTTCTCCGGTGCTAGCAAAGTCATGGCACCTTGGGCAAAGAGTTTAAGTTTTACTGGTAGAAACTCCTAGATACATAGCGCAATTAAAGTAGATCCTGAAATGAGGAAAGAAATTTATTTCTTTCGGAAAAAATGATCTTTTTACATTTTCCGGTTGCCATTCCCCATCTTCCACCGAGCTGATTAGCTATTGATAGTTCCTAAGAGCCAGGAAACCAGTTTCCTCTGTATTTTAGTTTATTTTTCTTAAAGCTAAGTTGGAATGTTTTGAAAGAAAGTGATGGAAGTTATTTTAAGTTATTGGGCTTAGTGTTAGAAGCATGTTTAAAAAAGGGTAAAAACTGCTACTTTATATTTGGACTTTGTAATTTACATAATGAAAAATCTGATTGCTATACACTATAAATGAAAGATGATATTGTAGTGCCTTCTTGATTAAATTCCAGATAAATACGTACATATTTTGAGCTTTCTGTATCACATTACTGTTAGAGTGCTTTGTGATAAGAATGAATTTAACAGTAAGTTTTTCTTTCTCTTTTGGTTATTTTTATGCTTTTGTCTAAAAAGAATTTTTATCAGTAAGGTAGGATGAAGTAAATAAATGAAATGGAAGAGAAAGCAGATACACTAACTATAAATGTTAATGTGATTGTGGTTGAACTGTGAGTTTCCTGATAATCAGGGCAAAAAGGGATATATGATAAATTAGATAGATATTAGTAGTATGAGGAAATAAAATGAACCAGCTACTCAGGGGGAAAAAAGTTCTGTCTGTCTCTAAATTAAAACAGAGGTTACTCCCACAAGGCATCTTAGGAGGATGCTCATTGATTTAAATGAATTCTTTCCACATTTAATAGCCAATTGGAGAAACAGATTTGATAGTTTTGCTTTGTGTAACCATCTTCAATAAAAAGCCAGAGGTATAACATTAGTTATAGATATAGTTCAAGAGGAGAAATTCTATGAGGACTAATGTCCAGTGTGTAGTTTTCAATTAGTGTCCTATAGTTCTCCCAAGTTAATTCTTAAGGGTTCTTTAGTTTTAATCTATTTTAGTTATATTTATTATAGAACATTGTATTTCTTACTTTAGTTTTAAATTACATGGTCAGTCTCTGGTATTTGGAAATTTTCCACAATGTGAAAAAAGGTTTTAAAATCTAGAGTGACCATCAAGGCTTTGGTCCATTCTTCCCTAGTCATTGACTCAGAATCAGCTAGCCAATCTGGGAACTATAACATTAATTCTAGGGAACCAGCAGTTAGCGTAATGGCTATGTCACTGGACTCCCACGTAAAAGACCACAGTTCGCATCCCGGACCCAGTGGCTTAAAACTCACGCCGGGCGCGTGTGCATGCGTGCCTAAGATCCCAAGACGAGAATGGAGGAGAAGGGATTGCGGTGTGACCATCCCCCCTGGGGGATGATTTCTCACTTTCTGTCTCTATGTCTCTCTCTGTCTGTCTGGTGAGCGCACGTGCACTATAGTGAAAATCCCTCCAAAAAAAAAAACACAAAAAACATTAATTCTAGCATAGGGAAAGGAAAAACTTTATCAGAATTTGAAAAACTAGAAGTTGAAGAACTAAATTTCTAATGTTCTTGGTATTATGAATACTATAGTGACAAAATTTATCCTGTTTTAGGACAGCAACCCTTTTGATGCCACTGCGGGATATCGTAGTCTGACTTATGAAGAGGTACTGCGGGAGCTGGTGAAACACAAAGAACTCCTTAGGAGGAAGGACACCCATATCCGGGAACTCGAGGACTACATTGACAACCTCCTCGTCAGGGTAATGGAAGAAACGCCCAGTATTCTCAGAGTGCCATACGAACCATCCAGGAGAGCTGGCAAATTCTCCAATAGTTAACAAAACGGAGGGTACTGCATTTATAATTAGAAAAAGAAAGAGAGAAAAAGGAAAAACTTGTTACTGAAAAAACACTATCAGGTTTCATTATATATTCTCTTCCATTGTGAAAAATGGTTTTACCTGTAAATACCACCAGGGACTATCAAGAGTGATCTTTGAAGCGAGCAAAGTAATTTAAACTTTTAAAGTGAAATTGGGCAGATTCTTGATGAATAAGCAGTTTTAGGATTCACTTAGATGCTGGTGCCAGCCCAGTCATCTGCCAGAGGCCTCGAAATAGCTTCAGAAGTACAGGAATTATTCCTCAGGAGTAGATTTTTCATAAAGCAGATTAGTGCTGTGGTTGGTTTCTCAGAAGTCAATTTATAGACATGTTTAGCTTCAGGAATACTGCTCATTATAAACACTACTAAAAATAAGTTCATATTTTATATACATCTATATGTACATGAACATATGTTCACATATTTTTGTATATAAACTACATTCATATACCTCATACATATGTGTGTTTTAAAAGCATTTAAAAGTAACTGGTTGCCTCTAAGGCTAGGGCACCAGTTTCTTAATTTGAAGATGGACTTGTTCTCTATCGATGCAAGACAAGTCATCACTACCTACTGTTATGGTTTGTAATAGAGGAGCTGCTTCAAATCACTCTTGACTAGATGAACCTTGGATTTGTACTGAGATGCTGCATATTTTTCCAGCATCAACTTTTTGCTCTTTTTTTCAAAAATAATGATCCAAAGTCATCGTCTTTTTTTTAATGACAAATTTTATTAAACCTCAGTAACTTTACAACAGTATAAATTTCTTTGAGTTAATTTCTTAACATTTGAGTTTTGTTTAAAGTATAAGTAGAAGATAAGCTAATGCAGTTTGTTTCATTGAAATTCTACATGCCTTTAAATCACTGGCAAAGAACATGCTACAGAGTTATATCTGAAAATGATTTGGGGGCAGGGAAAGGACGTGATTGTCTGGTGCTTGATAACTCAAAGTAATGGGCAAATTCTAGGAATGAAGAATTAGGCTTGGTTTCAAGTTACATAAATAATAGGACAGATGGTTGCCTTTGGGTCTTGAACCAAAATAAGACTTAGTCAAGAAGGAGTGAGTTTTTTGAGCAGATCTGTACTAGCATGACATTACACATTACTCTACATCCACCCTGTAAGATTGATTTATCACAAAATGATGTTTTTTAGGAAAAAAATATTCCCCAAAATATTGATTCCTTCCATGGATTATTTTTAAATATTTGTATAAAATTATTCTGTAAATTAAATGAAAAAACAAGAGTATAAAAGTATTTCTCATCTTGGCCTTAAAAATAGAAACCACTATGAAACACTAAGACTTATCTGTGTCTTTTTGAATTTAAAAATGAAAAGTTCATCACCATATGGAAATTTAAATGTTCTCTAAACCATTAATGAATTACATTTTTTCTAATATCTATCTCTGTTTTGACTTCATTGAAAGTTAAATTAAAAACAGATGTGATCATTTTACTTATTTTAATATTTCGAATTGGAACACTTGTCCAAACTTATATTCACAAACTAAAATTTCTTGTTATTGTATTTTATGAACATTTTTTTAGTTTTTCTATGAGCATGAATTTCGAAATACTGAAAATATTTTCCATTATAAAAAATTAGATTCTAAAATTAAGAAGTGGAAAAAGAAAAAAGCTTTTATCAATTTCTCTGTCCCTTAAAATTCTGTAATAAAACTCAGAATCTGGTATAAATTTTCCCATTTGAGGTTTTGCTGGTTATAATAATTATTTTTAACATGGTGCCATGTTTAATTGACATTTATTAAATGTTATAAAATTATTAGCATTTGTTTTTTTCTGGTAGTATTATTGAGACTCTGACACTTTTAAAAATACCAAAATCCATGTATTTTTCAGTATTATGATAGATACCTACGTATATTGCAGTGTATTTTGGCCAGATTTGCCCTTTGTAGAACCAACATGTCCATTTTGTATTGTGGATATGTTTTACATAACTAGAGCTCATTAAAAAGTGTAGTTTAAGACTGCTATTCTTTTTCTGAGGAAATTCATTTTAAGGACTGATTCTTTACCTATATAAAAACTATAAGGATTATATGCATCCATACATAAGTGATTCATTTATAACTGAATCAATATTCTTACATTGAAATCTGAGACAAGTATTGTATTTAAAAACTGAATCTGTATTTATCACTGCCTGGAAATACTCTGTCTCAATGTTTATGAATTTTATTCATGACCTAGAGTAAACTTATTACATACTTTCATAATAAGTCACTATAATAAACTAAAAACAAAAAGTAAAAATGAGTTCCCAAGTAAACATCAGCATTTCCTGTGTTTTGGCAAAAGTGCATAGTAGTTTTCATTTCTAGCATTGAAGAGAAAAGGCCAAAAAGATCACTTTAGTTTACTTTTCCAAAATACAACTTTAAGTATTATAATGATGTATTTTGTTGGTAACTTAATAAATGGAAGGTACAGTAGACTTATAAGTGGATTTTACTTTTGCTATTATGCTTTAAAAAAATGTATGCTCAAAAACATTTCTAACAGTAAGAGGATTTTTTTAGTCACAAAATTGGTATTTCTCTCAAACCAATCTTAAGCTAACATACTTCAATTACATGAATAAAACATTTCTGCTATTATTTTGAGGAAAACAGTATTATTTTACAGCCAGTTCTCCTCCCAGTTCTAAAATTCAGCTTTAAAAGTAAGTATTGAATATACCATCCCAGTTTCATTTATTGAATACCGGGGTCCTGTCTTCGAACCTGTACATAAAATAAAGTTGTAACCTATTCATAAAAAATGCTTACGTAATGCTTTTTGCTGCTATGTTCTGCATCGAGCCTAGTTTGCCATCCTTCCATGAATGTAGAATTATCCATAGATTATACATAACTACATCTATTGCTTTTGGCAGTAAATCAAGATTTAGTTGTAATTTTCCAGCTGTGAAAATGTTGCTTTGTATTTAAAAGGGTTTCATGAATGGAAACCTAAGTAAAACTAAGCTCATTAGTGACAGACTTGCTTTCTTCAAGTCCTTCCTTGACCAGCTTCCCTGCCCATCCCTCCCTGCCTACCACCCTCATAAGGGTGCTTTTTCTTTAACAGGGAGAATCTTTTAAAAATAAATAAACAAATAAAAGAACTGCAGTCTTTAATATATCTACAGTAATCGTTACACTAGAGCTTTTATTTTCTTCTGTAGCCTTTTAGAATTGGTTTTGTAAATCAAGCCGAAACTTGATGTTCATGTACTCCAATGTCTTGTAGATATAGTAGGTGTGTGTCACTTGTGTGTAAGTGAAGTATAAAGCATGCTCATGCACTTGGTCTCTTTGAAGTGAGAGGGAGAGGATCACAGTGCTGCTGGTTCATGGTGGGAGCAGAGGGATCTGTCAGCATACATTGAGAGCCCCCATGTTCACAGATTTATAACTTTAATAATCTAGATGCAATCATTGCAAGTATTTAATATGCAATAGGTAGCACCTTAACTAATTAATCTGCATATGAACGGTTTTCAGATGTATTTAATAAGTGTAGAAGCTTTTCAAGCATTAAACTACAGTTGACATTTTATTTCATTTATTTTCTCTGTCAAAAAATCCACTCTTCCAATGGAATTGTGACAGATGATGCATTTGGGCTTATTAATCTTCAAAGCCTCCAGATGGTTTGTATTTTGAAGTACAAAAAATGCTGCAGATCTAGAAATGTATATATTTAGCAGGTATTTGAAAGAGATAAGCATTATTTATAACTGAAGAGTATTATGCTTATCTTCTTAAGAAAATGCTTGAGTAAGTTGTATACTTTTTTGCAGGTACAAACTCAAATGTATGTAAGCATTGTATAATGTGACAGTTGTATAATTTATGTAACTTGGTGCATGAATCCGAATTTTTATATCAGACTGTTGATTTATTATAGTTGATTAAAGTGTTTAAACTTAATTCAGTTGTCAAGATTTCTTATTGTAGATTAAACAGTGTTACCATAATGCACACGAGTCCTCTTTATCTTTTAATAGTTAGGATGTCTCTTATTTGGTATAGTGTAGCAAGTATTCTGTAAGATCTGCAGACTGACTTCACTATGAAAATAGTACTGAAAAGTTATTCAGAAAAGTAGTTTCTAAGTACCCCGGAGTGAACAGTATCCAACAAATATGTGAATGTCCTCTGTGTTTAAAAGAGCTTCTCATAAGGATGTAGATTACAATTTGGTAGAAAATGACATTTGAATATTTATGCATAGGCTAACACCTATTTGATTTATTCCTCACAACCCTGTAAGGAGTATACAAGTTTTCAGAGGATATTTAAGGCAACTCATGAAAAAAACAATTGTGGTACTCAGGAAAGAATAGGATGGATCAAGCCCTAGCATTTTCACTGCTTCTTACCCTGCACTTGTGGTAAAAGTCACTAATTGACCACTGCTTCTGGTTTCCTAAGCATAACAGTCTAAGTAACATACCGTCCATTGGAGAAGCTAAGGAAAACACAGGTTTAACATGTTCGTGCCTGTATACACACAGGTACACGTGTGTATACAGCAGTGTATTAGGTAGTTTTATTGTCTAGAGCAGGAGTCCCCAACCCCAGTGCACAGACTGGTGCTAGTCTGTGGCCTGTTCACCACCCACTCACTGTCCTCCCCTCCTCCCACCCTGTTCAGGGTTGGGGGAGTGGGCTGCAGGCAAATGAGCAAGGCTTTGTCTGTGTTTGCAGCCACTCCCCATTGTTGGCATTGCCACCTGGCTCTGCCTCCGGTCAGATCAGCAGCAGTATTAGGTTCTCTTGGGAACACGAACCCTATTGTGTGATTATTTCATTGTATATTGCAATGTGGTAGTGGTGGAAATGGAGTGCACAGTGGGTGGATGTGGTGCAATTGAGTTGTCCTGTTACCAACAACCCACCCACCCCCACCATGTCTGTTGCAAAAGGGATTTTCTTCCACAAAACTGATCCCTGGTACCAGGAATATTGGGGACCACTGATCTAGATTTTGAAATATGGTCCATCTGTAGTCTTAACATAAATTCTATGCATTTGAAACAGGGATTTCTCTGCAGGCTAGGATACCTTCTTAGACTCAAATTGCCCTGTTTTGGTGGGCTCATTTAGCCTGTGCCTCCACTTCCCTCTGTAATCTCCTCTAGATTATTCTCCTTAGATTATTCTCCTTTCTACAGATCCCCAGTATACCTGTTTCTTTTTCCTGAATCTGCAGAAACAAAGATATTTGTAATTTGGGAGTAGAGAACTGTAAGTATTTTGTTTAAATGAGCATGTTTTGTTTTGTCTGTCTCAGAAATATTTCTGTTCAGTTTTTTGGCTTCTGACCTGAATTTTGCCCAATATTTTACAGTTCTTCAATTTTACATGATAACACAATTTTATACTTTTATAATAGAGTTATACTGTTAATGCTATAAGCAATATTTTTATATACCTATCATTACATGAACAAAAAGCATGTGTATTCTTATACTCACTAAACCCGAATTTTTGATTCTTAAGTGTTCAGTGGTATCTTCATTATTTAGGCCTTCCAGAAAGCCAGAATTTATGCCAAGAAACATAAAATCATGTTTCTCTGTCTTGAGATTTTCAATTACGGTGTGTTGTGGTCAAATAAAGATAACGGTATGGTTTGTTACTAATATTAGTACCAAAATTTACAAATTAATTTTTAAAATAAGTTAGAACAGTAAAGCTTATTGCCATTATAGTATTACATTCTTTATGCTCCAGCAAATGACAGGACAGTGTATAAGAGTGAAATTGCAGGTTATTTGCAGTTCCTTGCAAAATGTAATTTGTGCTACACCCCTTCCCAGGCCGGTATGGTGGAAAATAGAGCAGGTTGGGTTTACAAAGGTGGAGGAGTTGCTGGGCTAGAAGGTGGTGTGGCTAGGGCGCTGGACTCTGACATAGCTGACCACAGTCTGCCCAGACCTGGCGGCTTGAGAATCATGTGTGTGCATGTGCATGTGTGCCCAAGATCCCGAGAGAATGAAGGAGAAGGGATTGCAATGTACCTATCCCCTCAGGGATGATTTCTCACTGTCCTTCTCTCTCTCTTTCTCCAATGAGAGTATGTGCCCTAAAGAAGAAAAAAACAAACAAAAGAAAAGGAGTTACTGAGGACAGTGGCAATCTAGAGAGCACA